AGCGCTGTCGCCCCGACGGTTCTGTTCCTTCCAGTGAAGAAGGCTACTTGTGTTGTGGCCGAAAAGTCGTGAGAATTTTATTTTTTAATGTTTTATTTTTATTATTTTATTTCCATTCTACGTGACTTTGCCGAAAGAACCAAGAAGATGAATCCCTGCAGTCACGAAAGCTTTAAATCGAAATAAAACTAATTGTTGTTGTCGTTGGTATGACTTTGCAATGCGAACTCACGTGTGTTAACACGCTTAAAGGCAATCTAGCATAGCGCATCTGAAGATATGACATTGCTCATGATAAAGGGCTTTGGTTAGATTGCGTAAGTATAAATGTGTCGTAACCCTCCACCACCCGACGCAGTAAGTGAGGTTTGTCACGTAAACAACGCGCCAATTGGTGACCACTTCAGCCCACAGGTTGTGTTGGAGAGAAAATCCGCAACATTTACAATTTGAGTAGTACGACGTTTCGCTGGTAATTGCATCCCAGCATCATCGGGCGATTTGCCAGAACAACAGTGCTGGATGTAATTACCAGCGACACGTCGTACTGCTGAAATTGTAAATGTTGTGGATTTTCTCTCCAACACACCGGCGGGTTGAAGTAGTAACTAATTGGCGCGTTGGTTACGTGACAAACCTTACTGGTTGTGTCGGGTGGTGGAGGGTGACGACACATTTATAGTTACGTGATCTAACCCACAAACCCTAATTATGAAAAATATTGGACGCGAAAGCCTAAATATTGCATTGCATTACAGATGTTTAGAAAAATACTCATGAACATGATTAAAAAAATCGCGTGATTAATCTCACCGAGCGTAATAATAACAATATGTGCGTGTGATTAAATATACAACTTTTTTTACAGTAAAAAAAAACAAATAACACGTATATTCGCATGTTCGATGTTATCAAGGCTAAGCAGGTTTGCTGTACCACCTCACCCAGATGCATCAGTAATTGACTTGCGATGCTGCCTCTCGCCGATATCTCAATTGCTATATATGTGTGGCTTCTCGTGCACACGCTGGCTTAATCTCTGCGTAATCCATCAACTCCATCTCCCAAGTGGCTGATTGCAAGTTGGGGCTCGTGGGTAGCCTCAGGGTGAGAAGAACGTACAGAGTGAGCGACCTTAACACAACGGTGAACGCAATACATTATATAGGTAGTCTAACCGTTATTAATTTAACGGTTACTCAACCATATTCTTGGTTCTTTCGGTAAAATCACGTAGAATGGAAATAATAAAATAATAAAAATAAAACAAACAAAAATTATCACGACGTTTCGATTGCAACACAAGCAATCATCAGCAGGTGTGAAACCCACAGCAAGAAAATTTGAAAAAAGTGGCGTTTTTTTTTCTTTTTAACGTTAGCACCACGGACAGCAACTGGCGGTTGTTCAGGCGGACGAGTCCATCTGTGCTCGGAACGGAGGATGGGGGAGACCCTCAGCCAACATGGAATAGAAAGCCAGGTGCTCATGGAGACGGGGGTCTCTCGATAGCTCTCGCGAGTGGGGGCCCCTTCCGTCAGCAGGCGTTGGAGTGAGCAATTGCGGGGCTTGACCTTTGACTTCACTATAATTTTTAAACACCAGAATTCCGGCGGCCTTGTTCTAGCTCCCTGCGGAACACTTCTCGGCGCTTGGCGTTCGCCCGTCGCCCTCACTGATGTCCTCTTCCCCCCCCACATTCTCCCCCAATGTGTGCGGATCCTACTGACTCTATTGTGTGTCGGGTGTGTAGCTATATAGGGGCCGTCCATAAATGACGTCACGCGATTTTGGACGATTTTTTACCCACACCCCCCCCCCCCCCTTCGTCACACGGCGTCACAAAAAGTCAGACCCCCCTAAAATATGACGTCACAAAGCTCTACCCCCCCCCCAAAAAAAAATGCTTCACATCGCTTTAAACTATTGTCATTGTAGTGCGTAGTTAATGTGGCGCTGCACTCTGATGTTGTAGAAGAAAACATTTATTAAAATGTATATTTAATTAAGTAGAACGTGTTGTCTATATTTATTTATGGTTGCGCATTTGATGTGACGTCACATTTCTCAACCCCCCCCCCCCCTCGTCACACATCGTCACAAATGTCTGACCCCCCCCCCCTAGGTGCGTGACGTCATTTATGGACGACCCCATATCCCTACAAAAGAAATGTCTTTCTTTGGGGGGGGGTGCATTATTTTTTTGGGTGGGGGATTGACAATTGTTGAAAACCTGTTCATCAACCTTTTTACCCCACTTCTGGGGGTGAGTAGGTGGGGGGGGGAGGGGGTCCACTTTTATAGCTTTTTGATTCAGGCCCTCTGAAAGGCTGCTATAATTTAGTTGACGAACAGACGGAACGCCGGGCTTTTATTAACAGATGCGCTGACCGTGTCCACGATTCTCATCCGTTCAATGACAAGGGACTACTTTCATCTCTTATGTATTTGTTTTTTTTTACGATTTGCTTACGTTTCCTACACTTTGCACTCCTATCGTGTTGTTGGTTTTTGTACTGTTTGTTGCTATTATGATTCTGGATAACTGATTAAATTGCTTGCAATTCCCTCTCTCTATCGTCGCCTTATCCCAACATGAACCGTCATGCGCTCTCTGCGACGGGCTCAATGTTTTCCCCCTTCAACGGCTTGCAGTTGACAGGCGAGGTGGTTGGTTCCTTCCGTTAAACCATTCCGTCCACTCTTCAAGTCATAGCATGCTATCGTGCGTGTAAGTGTGATCAAGTTACCGCTTGGTCGACTGACAAAAAAAAAACCCACATTTCAATAAGTCGCAAGTATTAAGATGTAAGGTTGGCGCGTGGTTTTTGAAACGAGCCAATAATGAGCAGGTTTGATGTGCGGCCAAACTACGTAACTGATGCTAAGAGGTACAATTATTGCTAACTTCGCACACTTTGCAAATGCGCTGAGAAGGTATCAAAATGCAAATATCTATCGAAGGAAAAAGTCATCATTTGGTCGCATATTTCCATTGTCTGTGTAATGTTTGCGGAACAAGAAAAGGTTTTTGTTTTGCCCTGACGTAATTACCCAGTATTGTGATAAAGGAAGACAGGTGTGTCAAATGTCTTGACTTAAAGCTTTCGTGACTGCCGGAATTCATATTCTTTGGGTCTTTCGGTAAAGCCACGAAGATAGAATAATAAACATCACGACGTTTCGATCGCAACACAAGCAATCGTCAGTTATGACTTAACCTAAGTTAATAACGTCCTTCCAATGATTGCTCAGTTTGTACCCATCTTCTCGGTTGAAATTGTGTCTGTGTCTATATATCTGGATGCCTTAACTGGCTGTGATGTTTGGTAGTTATTTTCGACTATCTGGTGTAACATTAACAGGTCAAATGTCTTTACATTCACAGGTTAAATGTCTTTACATTAACAGGTTAAATGTCTCACTGACACAGCCACCGTTGCTCGTTTTCCTCGATGTTGCGGTGGCTGAACGATCTTACATTGACATGCTAATCTCTCACAATACAGTGGCCACCTCCGCAGCTTCGTCCTGGTGGAGGTAGCTCAGCTCTCCGATCTTACATTGACATGCAAATTTCCTCACTAGCCACGCCCACTTCCCTTATGACCCTTGGGCTATAATTCTAGATTTGAAGCTTTCGTGACTGCAAGGATTCATACTCTTTGGTTTTATTCGGTAAAGTCACGTAGGTAAAATATAATAAAATGAAACAATTAAATCACGACGTTTCGGAGGCAACACAAGCTTCCGTCTTCAGGTGGAATAGTCACAGCAGAAAATCTGTGTGTAAAGTACACAGCTCTGAGCTGTACTTTACACCGATTTGTGTTGCCTCCGAAACGTCGTGATTTAATTATTTTATTTTATTTTACCTACGTGACTTTACCGAATAAAACCAAAGAGTATGAATCCTTGGGCTATACCCATCTCAAGCCTTGACAACATCCTGCCTCAGCAACTCTCTCGCTATTTGTTTTCACCTGATGATGATTGATTGTGTTGCGATCGAAACGTCGTAATATTTCGTATTATTGTTTTTTTTATCTACGTGGCTTTAGCGAAAAACCCAAAGAATATGTGGCAAATATATTCTGTTAACTCGATTTCCTTTTCGTTTTTGCAATGCATAGTGTCAGCATCAGCACGTGCCACGAGTACGTGACGTGTGTTGTCGAATATCAAAGCAACGACAACGACAGCAACAACAATTCGTGACTTGAAATGAAGCGACAAAGACACGCGCAGCACGCGTGAACATTTATTTAAAACTCGGGACGTCTGCGCTGCACGCTCTGCGGAATGAACCGTGGACAGGCCGCCAACGCGAGCGGCGATTCTTCACGGCCGTGCTTCTTGCTTCCAGCAACAAGGGGATTCTTCACGGCCGTGCTTCTTGCTTCCAGCAACAAGGGGATTCTTCACGGCCGTGCTTCTTGCTTCCAGCAACAAGGGGATTCTTCACGGCCGTGCTTCTTGCTTCCAGCAACAAGGGGGGGTGGGGGGAGGGTGTATCTCCTCTCCACGCCGGCTCCTTGCACGCCGCAACGCAGCCTCGCTGTAATTAGTGCATATTCATCTATCACAGCTGCCAATTTACAGAATCCCCGTGGCAGGCATCATGAATAGTCAATGAGGGCCCTCATCGCTATGCTTGAGGCGGAGTCTATATATATATTTTTAAGCGAGCGTCGGCATGAAAACCCGCATCGGCGTCTGACGGCGCGAAATCTTGGGGCGGGTGCGTGCCACGTGCCCTCCCCACGTGCGCGTGCGTGCTTACGTGCGCGCGTGAGTGTGTGCGGTGTGTGTGTGTGTGCCGCGTGTGTGTGCTGCGTGTGTGTTTGCCGTGTGTGTGTGCCGCGTGTGTGTGTGCGTGCCCCGTGCCCTCCCCACGTGCGCGTGCGTGCCGCGAGCCCTCCCCACGTGCGCGTGCGTGCCGCGTGCCCTTCCCACGTGCGCGTGCGTGCCGCGTGCCCTTCCCACGCGCGCGTGCGTGCGCGAGTCACGCAGCTGCATCCTCAGGCGGCAGGGCGGACGAGAGAAGGGGGAGGGCGGGGGGGGGTGGCTGGGAGGTAATGGTGAAGGACAGCGATTGGAAGAAGGCAACCTGCTGCTGAGCCCTGGCTTTGCCCTTCTGACGATCGAGTGTGCGGGAATGCGTCCGAAAGCGCCGCTCTGACTGCGGCAGGAACATTGTTGTCGGCGGGCGACGAGGCAACCCTATTTATTTATTTATTTATTTACCTCCCCCCCCCTCCCGCACCCAAAGAAAAGGAAAAAAAATAATCTTGCTATCCCGTTTTTTTTAATATATCTTTAATTCCAATTTACTTAGATGTGGAAATATACATTTTCGTTGCTGCTGTTAATGTCGTGTCTATAGCCCTGCGCGAAGGGTCTCTCTCTAATTGCGACACTTCAACTGAGACCAAACATGGGATGCAATCTCTGCGGTTCACAGAAGCAGGATGAAAACTATAATTTGCTGTATGAAGTTTGCAAGGTAAGGCAATGCACGCTGTACATTTGTTTTGAATTCCTCTTGTCGGCATGCGGCTGTTACATTTGCAGCCGTGTTTATCACGTGTCTGAATGCGTGTTTGCTTGCCTTCGTATATTTTCATTCGTCTCAAGCAATCGCTGGATTCCAAAATGCATTCTCTGTCACCATGGAATTATCTGATGTTTCCATGACCCATGAGCATCGCGTTGCTAAGGGATTCGTATTCAATAATAAAATTTAAAAAAATCCAGCGTCGTTGCTTAGCAATGTGTGCATCTCACTCGGTACTTGAAAACAAGGAGAAATGAAAAGGCTGTATGCAATCGGTTTTGTTGTTGTTCATTTACAATCAGCAGATTTGGTTTGGTTTTCAACGATGACCTTGATATGCTTTTGAGATAGTGTTGCACTCTGCATTACAAAACAAAAAAAATTGCTTTGAAGGAAGTTTAATTGCAATATAACACCCACGCTTTAATCTTTTACAAGGTGATCTGTAAAATGAACACTTTTTTTACGTAGCGGAAATTGTCCTTTAATTAACAAACACTCAGTAAATGTTAGGTAGGATAATTGTATATAAATGTAATCATACACTTCAGTATCGACACACACTGTAGTGGGATCTAAGAAAATACAGAATAAGCCCAAGGGTAATGCATTAATCATATCATAGTAATGTGAAAAATAGAAATACTGAATGAAAAAAAGGAATCTTGAAAATGAACACAATGTTTGTCTTTATTCGTGGATGATTGCACAAAAATAACAATTTACCATCAGTGCATGATTAAAACACCGATTAGGACATTGGGTCGTTGTCGCGAGTAAAATACACAGTTAATCACTCGAGGTAATGTTTTCCTCTTCGAAAAATCAGTTCAAACGAAACAGAGGCAATTTAGGGGCCTGCAATTGGATCTATAAATTCGAAATTCCCTGCAGAAGCCCAAAATTAATTTTATTTTCTACATTGATTTTCTAGCTGTGAACAAAGAATTGTGCGGAGCAATTGTAGTCCCCTTGTAGAACATGTCCTTGTAGAAGCTGTACAAGCACTTACACACTCAGTACATGCATCCCACGAACCAAATCATTAATTAATCGCATATTAAATATCCTGCCCAGCAATATACTGTTCAATGACTCGCACAGGGATGGTAAAAATGATGCTCTGATCGTTCAGTGGACAGCAGCACTCACGATTTACTGCTTTAATGCCACGGTCTAAATTGCTGATTTGGAGTTTTTTTAGGTGCCTTGGCCGCACACTTAATTTTGTTCGTCGGTTATCAGAAGGTGCAACGCTTAATGTGCCATCTTTATCAAACGCTGCATACTTACACGAGCATCAACAACTATTTGGGACCAGGAGACACATAGCAGCATTGCAATCTCTACAAATAGAAGAAGTATAATCCCAGTGCTCAACCAAAAATAAAATCTAGCCAAGGCAGCATGCTGCCTCCATAAATTTCAGCAATGTTAAGTATATTTTTTAAAGTAAATACGCCATTAAATGGGGGAAGGAGGAGGGGGGAGGGATATAAATAAATGACATGTTGGTGAACAAGCAGCAAATTGCATTTTTTTATTATTAAAGTGCAGTGCATCTATGCCCAGATACTTTCCTTGTTTATTAAATTGTTTTATTTAACACTTGAGGTCACATAATTGACACAGACACTGATACAGGTCCTTTTATAAAAGGGCAACAGTTCACTTCTCAGCTGGCAGTTTTAATAATCCCCAAAAATATATATCTCATACATAATATATAACAGCTCGCAAAAAATGTGAGTGATTTTTTTTATCTCAAAATTGAGCCAAATGTTCAATCAACTGGCGTGCTTTAATTAATCAGGTGAGAGTCCACTGAGACTCATTATTTCTTTTGCCAGGGAGATCCATGTCTCCAGTTGGCCGTTGTTAAGCGTTTAAAATTCAACTGGGCTTCATTTGCAACATTGCACTTTAGGCTATAGCAGACACACGCACACGTTGACCCACTGATTGCAAATGCGTTGATGGAAGTCACCAATTCCTCACGGTTTTTTGTTGTTGTTGCCAGAGCGGCAGATGTCGTCGGTGGTAAATATAGAGGGAATTGGAAACAAGGCAGCCGACAGGGTTGAAATGGGTTCATCGCTCGCAGACAACCTCTTGCAGAAGCACAGCGTTGGGTGGGGGGGAGGTGGGAAAAGTGGAGGAGGCACATTGAGAGGCTTCGATTGAAGCAGCCCTCCTCGGGAGAGGCGGGGGCGATCTAAAATTAGCGTCGCGCACCTCTGCACGCCGCAAAAAAATCATCCCGTCGTTGCAAGGCATTGCTTCGAAGTGCATTGTCGCATTACGGAGAAAGCCATTTATGTTAATCTGTCAGTACATATCTTCCTATGGGAAACACCATCTGTTTGACCCCCCCCCCCCCCAGAATCGTACCGTAGTTGCGTGACCAATTTGGAGAGGCACACCTGGGAGAGGTGGGTTGTGGCTGATCTCCGAAATTGAGGCGCATGTCTCCCCAGTGGTCTTATTGGAGATGGCAGTCTATTGTCCTCGCGAGCTTTGCCAAGACTACCCCGGCCAGCCAGCTGCTGCGTGTACAGGACAGGTTGCTCTGGGATTGATTCGGGAGAGCATACGGAGGAATGTGAATGATTACACGAACGGACACTGAAACTGTATTGGCCACTGGCATAATTTCCACTCCCTGTCCGTGACCGAGCCACTTGGAATTGTAGGTCGAGACAAAATGAAGCTGCACATTTAGCCTGCGTGAAAGAAAAAAAAACTGCAGGTTATGCACGATTGTCCTTTGTCATTTATACACCAGCAAGCGTTGGCTAAAATAGCGTATTAGTACCACCCAGGGTGCCAAACGCTAACGTTTGGCACCCTGGGTGGTAGCTTTCATGATAAAATAAATGAACTGCAGTATGTTTGAAAGACACAGTTGTTTTTGGAGGGAAATGGAGGGGAAAACCCAATGTGATACTAACATCTACGGAATATGCCAATAAATAGGAATCATGTCTACAGCACAAACAGTGCACTGCCCATGGTGGGCACGAGTAGCATTTGCCAACCCAGGTGGTACTGACATATCCCCGAGGCTCGTGGGCTATTGCAGGCAGAAACGAAACGATACACCTCGGTATCGATTGATTTGTGGGCACAGTGCACGTTATCATGTTGTTCTTGCGACAGAGGTTAAAGCAGCATATTAATAAACGGTCCGCTGGAATAATGGATCAATCGGTGTGATGCACAGCCTTCGACACCGTTAACTAAATTGTTAATGGAGCATGGCACTCTTCATTTCACTGTCATTTTGACATTCAATCGAGCAAGCAACAAAAATCAGCCCTGTGGTGGGAATTTGTGCCCAGCAGATGCACGGGTTACTTAAAATTCCAAACATTTCTTTCGTGAAACATGAAAGGGAGACTTTGCTATTTTTCAATTAGACTTTGCTTGCTTTTTTTGTGTACAAATAATTAGTGTCTTGTGTGTGATGCAGCTTGGTTATTCCTCCAGAGAGGACTTCTTCAGTTAAATGATAAACAGGCGTGGTTTATACTTGCCCAGGGTATAAAGTGTATTGTGCGTGGAAATTATAAACACAAGAAAAAAATCACATGTATACACAGAAGACGTGGCCATCTGTGTATTTTTGGGGTAGTAATTATTCTTTGTGTAGTTGGTGAGTAAATAATGTAATAATTGGACTTACCCATTTCATTTTGAGTTATTTTAAAATCGTAATCCATTGAAGCGTGAAAGCCAGGTTTCCACATGTCACATATGTCAGTTTTAGTATAAATAACATGTACATGATTGGCTCCAGAAACTACAAATATCACGTACATTTGTAAGCTCCAAATTCAGATATGTAATTTATATATATACAAACTCATCATCTTTAAATTTATATAACAATATCGTTATTGTTAATAATTACATATGCATTCCATTATTTGAAACATTCTACATTGTTGTCCTTGAGTGGATTTGTATTATCATATTATCTCGTCTCTCAATTAACACATCTTTTTAAAACCTGAAATAAAATAGCGTCCAGTAATATTACTTATGGGTACTTCAATTACAATGTTATTTGCATGTGACTCAAAGTGTATGTACACAGGTGAATTAATATATTCAACAATTCAAAATGCACACACTCAGCCTGGCCGAGCAGACTTCCACTTGGGATTTTAGATGACACAAGTGAAGCCCTGTCCAATGCACATAACTCATGTACAAAAAAATAATAAAATAAGCGAATTATATGCCTCTGACCAATATTTGTCTGTTTCCGTAAAAAAACTTTTTTTTTTACATCCCATCAGCCAGGAACATTCCCGGAGTGTGTTTATTCAGCATCATTGGCTTAAGCAAGCTTGCCATTGAGACGATGAATTGTCAAAACCAGCCCAGTGTGTTCTTGCATTCAACAACAAAAAACTGCCAGATGAGTGAACTGCCAGCAGATATGCAAGGACTTTCTCCATTAGATAACGGTCCGAGTTCGACGTGAAACTAGATTCTACCTATCACAAAATTATCATGAACATGTACAATAGGGGAACTCTCATTCAAAGAAAGAGACTTTGAGCACGAGGTCAAAAGTTCGAGATGATGAAACTGGGCTGAGTGAGAGATCGTGCAGCGGCGAGCGCATTGGCGCCCCGAGTTCAATTCTCAATCATGGTTAATGTGTGCATGTATACGTTGTGTATGTATGTTGTGGGAGCATACATACAGCAGTAACTCGAGTTTGATTCCCGCTCACGGCCAACATCAGTGACGGTTATCTGAAACGTTCCTGGGCCTCCCCTGGGTTGGGTCAGCGCCAGTAGAGAGAGATAAAGGCAACTGAGCGTGGTGCTGGCCACTCACCCCCTCGTGTGCTGTGTCGGCTTTCATAGGTGCTCGCTAACAGCACTTGCCCCAACAGTCTTGTAAGGCTACACGGGGGACCTGTGTCTTCATTG